TTTCATTCTTGATTGGCTTTAGTTTTGTGAATTAAATACGAGTATCGCCAAAGAAATTTTAGCTTGAAAATTTTTACAATATAATGATCGTTTAAGTATGGCTTAAGTTTGTATGTACTGACGCCGCAATATCGATAACGAGAGCTTAAATTGTATTAGCGATCATATTGCATCTTATTAATAAAAAATATTGTTGAAATTATTAAGTGTAAATAAAAAAAATGTAAAACGAACTAATTTATAAGGAATAGGAATCCTGTAAACTGCGACATTAAAGTTTATAAGAGTAAATAAAACAATAAAATTAATAAGAAAAAATGCACAGACAATTAAGAGTCAACGCGGTAATTAATGCGTACAAATTTCAATAGTATTATTAATTAAATATCCATATAATGTGATCAATTATAATACAGTATTTCTGAACGTTTCGGTTACATTTTGGAATCATCCTCAGCGGTGAAAATAAATCTTCATAAATATTGACTATTGTTAAAATCGCAGTCAATTTGTGAATTTGCGCTTCCACAATTTGAATGTTAAGTAATATCGCAAACTTTATCTTTTTTGCCGTTGTGCAATGTTACTTTCGCCAATGCAATCTAATTTCTGTTTATAACACTTTCATACTCGTTGATTCTTCCATTCTCATAAGGTTGAGTCTCGCAAGAAACAAACTTTTGCACGGAGGTGTTATTCACTACACTTCGATTATAAAACCTACGAGATGGAGTAAAAAACGAAACGCCTGATAAATGTAAAGTGATTTATATCATTCTGTAGTCGACTTGAATTTCTTTCGCAATTCACAGGCTGCATCACCGTGTCACTTCGCCGTAGATAAAAACCAGCTCAAAGTTAGGCAGTGTCTGGAGAACGTCGCTCCATGATCAATAGTGACTGCTTTAACATCACATTCGATATAAAGGCCCACGATATATATGTATATATATTCACATATAAAATTAATCAATTAAATCGCAACGTCCGCAACGTTTACAGTTTCAAGACGCTTCATACACGCTCAAGTTAATTGCGCTCTGAGCGATATTGAAAACAGCGACAAGGAACATGTGTTACAATTCCTCCCCGCAGGATTAATTTTCACATTCACATCAATTCTCACATTTTCCATTAGCGTTTAATAACGATTAATCGATAAATCAAAGTTTATGATTATTTCATTCTATCAATCTTATTAGCTAACTAAGTTAATGGGCCACTAATCGTTGCGCCGACGTAAATAACCGTGCCGTTTGATAATGCTTGATTCTCCATTCGATTAAGAAGACTAATGTTGACGTAAACATATCTGAAAAGCTTTTTCTTCGCCGCATAGCAAATAGTTTACAAGTTCGAGCGATACCGCGTAGGTAGATTGCGAGTGCGCACACCGTATAACGAGAAATGCAGTAGGGGCACTTTGCATTCGTGGAGAACGGTCGCTCGAGTAGATTAACATAATCGGGAGGTGCAAGCTTACGAGTGCACACAGTGGGGGTTTATAACAGCGGAGACGTAAAGCGGAAAGGAATCGCACGTGTGGAAGATTTTTCTCGCTTGGGCAATCGCATACAAATGCACTCTGAAATCAAGGATCGAAAATCCTTGTCTTACACCTTATTTAGACCCATAAGAGGATTGGATCCTTTCCACACGCTTACACGAAAGCTTTTGGTATAGGAATGAGAGCCCACATGTGAAAAAGATTTCATGTATACAAGGATCTTAATTTTAAAAGTTTAATTAGGATCATATGGCGTATATAATAGCTTGGAGCTGGCAGTATTGGCGTAATCGGCTTTGGAGTATTCAAATCGCGTGTATTTACATTTGCAATTTTTAATAAGCGGCTCGAACATCTTTTGTATTTCTATGCTTTACCCGTTTTGTATATAAATTCTCTCACAAATTTAATAAGGTATTCCCATTATGTCCAAAATATAAAAAATTATTATCAAGTTATTATAAATTATATATACATATATATACTCGTATATATGTGTGTAAAATTATAAACAAGTTAAATAAGTTAAATTAATTAAAAGGTTATTATTAAAAGTAGAATGGCTTAATAAAGCAAATTTAATATATATATATATATATATATATATTTACGTATAATGAAGTTCTACGAAAAACAAAAAATTTTCCAAAGATTTTAAACTACACGTTTTTCTTACACATGTTCAATGGACGTACAAATATATCTGAACGTGTAAGATCATCAATTACGTGAATGTTCGAGCACGTAAAAACTCGAGCGACCCTGCCGGCTCCATTATTATCATAATATATTCGAATATGGCACGCCAATACTCTGTGAAGATAATTATATCTCGCACTTGACTTAACAACATAACATTTTCCTTTATCTTTAACAACAACAGTAACAACATGTTTTCTTCTGATAGCAATGTATTTCTTAAAATATTCCGCGGATGACGAGAGTTTGCGTCCCAACATCCACGCACGCACATCGCACAATAATTATGAATAGTTAATGATTTTACAAATACGGATGGGATTAAGCGGAATTAATCGCGAGCATCTCGAAGTCTTTCGTAGATCTACCTACAAAATATGCTCTGATTTTCATTTCCTCCGCATTATAACGTGCATTGCAAGTCTGGAAAGCATAATTTTCTATAAAAGTATCAAAATAAATATTAATTTAATAATATTTTTACTTATTGTTACAAATTTTATTGTAAAAAAATATATTTGGATTTATAATTCATATAAAATAAGTATATTTCTACAAAATTGATGTGTAATGATGTATTGAACGTTTGTAAAAAGCGCCTAGTGCAAGTAAATTTACTTAAAGCAAAGAATTGTCTAATTTTTAGAATTAATATGTGTTTATATATATAAATTTGCATTTTTTAATCAATATATTTTAATTACCATATAAATTTTTATTTATATAATAAAAAGAACTAGTTAAGAATTGGCTAGTAAAGATTAAAGAAAAGAATTATGTCAAGATTATTATAATTTTTTTTATACTTTATATTTAAAAAATTAGGATTGTGTATTTAATTTAACATAATATTTTTTATATTTAGTTAAATAGAATACATTTCTTACATATTGTTTACATAGTTACATCTAATTTTAATTTAATAAACAAATTCAAATTCCGTTTTTTTTGTAAATTGATAATAAAAAAAGCTTTTTCGAAATATTTTTAATACATCATTATGATCAATAAGCTTATCTTTTTGAAAAGGGACACTATTGTAACCTGCAATGCACTTTAAAGCTCATACGAATCAATGCAATTATGTACAGCGACATAAGTATTAAAATTTCAATTTTAATTTTCGAATCCGATGCGCACGTGAAACTCGAATTTGTTCGAGGGGTTTTATTTGTTATTTTGAGTAATCGTCATCCATTGCGGATTGTCAGGACGTTATGTCGAAGATTGCGACATTTTCTCTTTCTTTAAGATCATATCAATATTAAAAACTTACATAGTCTACAAAAATCTATAAAATTTACGCATAGTTTTTAAAAGATATCTGAGAAACATATAGAAATAATGAATTGTTATCAACTGATCATTTTCCTGCAGATTCGATAAATCGCAATTTTAGGCTCGCACGTTTTATTAATATACATAGATATAAAATATTCCGCATAGTAAACAGCAATTCTATTCACGATCTTTTTGATTTACTCAACTACCACTGCTGCCTTATTTGTGTTATCAATTATTTCGATATTTTCTTTTTCAAGTAATGTGTCCTGACACTCCGCGATACGCGCGCATTATGGTTCGATTTTTATCTCATAATTATATATATTACTTCTTGTTTTTGAGCATATTACGTCTTCGAATAGATTCTTCTTTAGAATATTTCATTGTTGTGTATGTGACCATATTAAATATATATATGTATCATACTATATATTTTTCATAGTTATACGGACTCATTCACACTAATTTTATCCGACATACAAGCTTAGATATCAAGTATTTTGTATGGTACACATTGACATTTTCCATCAAGATATCGATTAGATTCTTCAGTTTCTTTGGATTTTGTCACATTGCTCGTATCGACGTATCACTATGACATTTATTTGGAAACTGGCATGAGTTCGTACAAAGTTGAATGTGTCCTTTTTAAAAGATTTAGGAATTTCATAACTTATCTATTGCATTGTTAATGCCTAAATAAATGTGTGCCTTTTTTCCGTAATCTTGGTTCCAGCTATCAATAATCATTGAAATTTTCCGAATCGTTTCTCTTACACTGACAATTTTATTAAATAATTATATATCAATATATAAATATCAAAATAAATAACAGACAATGAATAAAAAAAATTTTAAATAAGGATAAAATATATTTACTATTTATATAATATGTTTAAAAAATTAATGATATACATATACACAATATTATATAATGGAACTGTCCTATAAATAATATATTATGAATTAAAATTATAACTACAATTTGAAGGTAATATTAAAATATTAAATTACAAATCAATATTAAGATTGAAAATCGATATTAGACTCGAGTAAAAAAAAATTAGAATTTTATTCTTTTTAAAAAATAACAGTAAAATAAGTAAACAAAGTATTGAGATATGAATCAAGGAAAAATGTAAAATTAATAAAAAATTAGGATTAATAAAAATATCATGGATATTGTAATGTTTTAATTAATTCTGATTTTACATATATATATATATATATATATAAAAAAATATATATATTATATATATATGTACACAAAAATTCCATTAATAAATATTTATATAGAAGTTTTTATTATTAATTGATATGTAATTATAAAAATGTATGAGAATTTAATTTAAAAAATGACAAAGTAGTCAATGGAAACTAATTGCGTAAATAAAATGGTCACATTTCAAAGTATTCTAAAAAAAATTAAATGCTTTACTTTGTTTTTAAAAAATTACTAATCATATTTCAGAATACTTAATGGATCATCTAGTACATTATGAGCCATGTCCAAACGATTTTAGGCACCGGTTGAAATTTTGAAATAAATCTTTGCACACACCTACGTGAACACGGAGCAGTTAGCTTCAATGTCGACGACGTAGCCTGTCGATCGTGCTGTTAAAAATAAATCTCTCGTAGAGAGACTGAAATCCTGCTCGATTATTGAGCATTCGTCCGAGCGTTACAAAGATTCAGTAATTTTTTGAAACATTTTCACACAACGATCACTATTGTTATGTGAACGCAAAGTTGCAAATTGTCATGCAAATGCATTCCTTCCAATGTTTCAAAAGATGCATCTTTCAAGAGTATAATGCGAGTGTCGGTAACAAATGCACTTCTTTGAGTCACAAAATATCCTCGATTGGTGTCTTCTTGGTCTGGTTGACTCTCAATCATTGATAGGCACTGACGACGTTCCTCCTCTCGTTGTTTCACCGCGCGCGCGACGACAGTTTCCGAGGATCGATATCAGCGGATCAGCGTCTTCGTCCGAACGAAAGGTTGATGTGGGTGGGGCTCGTTGTTCGAGGCAGGAGCAACAGGACGCGATTTTTTATTCAAATCGCATTGTTTCTGGAGTCTTCAGAGGCCTCTCTGTTCGTCCCATACGCTTCCAGTGTTGCGTGATTGGGCGACTGAAGCCAATCCTCTTACGATCACAGAACTGTCTCCATTTCGGCGATTTCCGTCCTAGTCACATCATCATCCGGAATCCTATGACAAACAATCACTTATTTTCACAAAATACGAAATATTTTCGAATGATATATCTAAATAAATAGTCGCACAAACTGACGGATTCAACTTCAAAAAGGTAACAATTTTAACATAAAATAACTATAAAGAATGAAAACCGTTATGCTGATTTTGTTACAGTAATGTACACATTATTATAATATATCATAATATTATAACATATTAATTAGGATATTAATATGAAACGTTCCGATTTAATGAACACATTCCGTTATATTACATTAATATAACAGAATTATGTTATAACTTACAGAACAATGTTATTTCAAAATAAATAAGAATCAAATACTTCCAACAATTACAATTTATGTAAATACACAAATACGAATTTTGAGGTTTGCTAGATTTTATACATATATAATGTAGTTTACATCATTCAATAAAATTAAATTAATAATAAATTATCTGTATTCAAGTGATAAATTCATAATAATAATAATTAAAAGACACAATTAAAGAAATTTATTTTGTGAAATTTCTCATACGATATATTTTATTTAAGATAAATAATGTCGCGTTTTAACAATTAGTCTCTCCGATCCAACGCCGCATAATTCCTCGCCTTTACCTGTAAATCTCCGTGGGTAGGAACGTCTCGGCGTATTCCGTACTGACCACATGGTTTCTACTCATGTCCCTCGGACGGGCAACCTCGACGGCATCGATATACCTGAATATAAATGATCGGGGATTATGTTATCGCCATCTCGTAACACCATGGAAGTTGCCTCCTACACGTAAACTTTATCATGCTGTCCGTCTTTCTCATCTTCGCCCCCGGTCACGGCACTTTCTCAATATTCCCACACCCCGAATTAATTTTCGCTCCGCGTGTTGTCTCGCTGTCGCCGTCGGACATTATAGGTAATTAATCGATTAACCGCCGCAAACTACGATGGGTAATTACCTATAATGTACATACTGTTAGCACCGATACGCCTAAATTATCTAGCTATTTTCTTCTGGAATTCGCATGCCATGCTCTCGAGCACATTAAAGTAAAAAAAAATAAAAAGATATCCGTGATAATAAGAACGACACGAAAGTGTATGAGCGAGAAATACTTATGTATGCGTAACTTATGCAAACGATCTACCAATCTACAGAGAACTGAGAGAAGCGAAAAGCGGCTCTACCCCTAATCTCTACATCCCTCTTATTCTACTTATTGATCTCTCTAAACGAGGCGCCCGCCATCGTCGATCCGCGTGATGCTCGGCGTCTCTTTCTCTCTTCTTTCGCCGTTTTTTTTCTTCATTACAGAAAAGTGAAGTTAAGGGGAACGGAGGTCGCGCGAGCTTACGAAACAACAGAGCCTCGCGGGATCGCGCGAGTCGTGGCAAAATTTTTTTGATCGGTGGAACGATCTTTTACTACACCATGTGAGATCGATTACAGTGACGTAGGAACTGCTGTTGAATTCAAAGTGTAAGTGCCAATTGTGTCATGGGATCAGAGTGTAATTATGTGAAATAGTTTCAATTTTTTAACGTTCAAAGTGAAAGCTTTTACGAAAGGGATTTGCAACAGCTCTTCTATAATGCTACGCATTAGCGTCTCGATTACGGCTACACGCTATAGAATATTTCCGATCAATTTTTGGAATAATAGTAATTCATAAGCAACTGATGACAGCTATTTGAATAGCATTGAAATGTTTTGGATTGTGTTAAATGTTGTTATGTTTAATGTTGTTAATTATAACAGATGACAAAGACATAAGATGAATCAGAGTAGCATTGCTAGTAGGACTTTCTTCACCAAGTAATTCGTTATGAAAAATTAAATTATTTCAGCAGAGAGAATTTTATTGAAGAGTTAACGAAAGAATATTTTAATGATATCTAGTTCCTGCATCACTGAACGTTCTTACGTGTAGTTTGGCATTGCGGACTTACGAATCGAAGTATGG